GGGTGGCGCGAGGGGCCGTGAGAGGGGCCTCTAGAAGGGCGCGACGGGCCGCTAAGGGCAGGGGACGCGACGAGAGGGCGGCCCACGGGGCGCGCCTCGGGCCGGGGCGACTCGCGCTTCGGTCAGAAAAAAAAAAAAACCAGTGGTGGGCCCAAGGAAGGAACAGTCCCAGGAGGGAACCAGCTCTATACCATGTGAATAATGAGGAACGATTGAAGTGAGGGGTTTCACTAGCAAGCAGTTGAGTACATATAGCAAACCCTAAATTGGGCTGTACTCACTATTGAGGGTCCCACTGCAGGCTAGACAAACATAACATTCTGACAAGCAGTAGCGCGGGGCAGCTGTCAGTCCACCGCTCCGCCCGTCGCTCCAACACTCGTCGCCTCTGCTGCCGCCAACGGCCTCCCCGCCATGCGCTCGCCCCGCCACTCACTCCACGTCCCACCGGATCGGCACACAGCGAAACCTAAAGCTCGGCTTTGACGCAGACACTGCCGTAAGCCGATGCCTTACTAGGAGAATCCTCGTCGCTAGCTATTGATAAGTTCCAGTGAGGAAGCTGTGGCATATGCCATGGTCACGGGCCTATTGCTCGCGTCGCGTTGACATCTGGAACAAAGCGAGCTGGTGAGGGAGGACTTGGAGAGGATGCGAAAGAAGCGGTTTCAAGTTCTGTATTGCCCCTTCCAGTATTGTACCACGCAATACCGAAACGAACCTGGCTCTATCGGAATCAGACAAGTCGGCCTGGTGTGCTGATGGAACTTTTCGAACGACGAAGAGCGGTTCGAGGTGCAATTGCCAAATTAATCCCGCATGGACCCCAACACTGCACCCCCCAGTCTCCCTCCTACCGTGCCGAACCGAACGGACTCCCTTTCCCTCACTGCCCCGCCCATCCTCCCATCCCAACCGCTCCAGCATGACGCGCAATTCACAATTCACGAAACAGCACCAAATATGTTTACTTGGTGAATTAGGCCCGGTTCGGCAGCCACGGAAGAAAGACGGAAGAAAAATTTCCAGCTTCTTCTATGAAGCTTCCAGACGCATTATTGAGGGATCTACGGTGCGGGTTGTATGGTAGATTTTTCGGAAATCGAGGTGCAGGTTTTTACAGCAGCGACGTGAACACCATCAAAAATTGATTCCGCGTCGTCTTCTGTCCTTATTCTTCCCCCCCTGGCGGAAAGCTTCCGCCCTAGTGAGACGGAAGAAGAAAGTGATTCTTTGAAAACATAAGAATCAACTTTTTGATTCCACAGCAATCACTGCTCACGGGACAACATTGCACCCTACGAAATAAAGGGTTACTGCACAGAAGAACCCTACTCGAGGGCAAATGTGCATGCGATTTTTTTTTTTTGGGAGAGAATTTTCGCTTTGCTACAGTGCTCTGGGACATTCGAATGTGAGGCAAATGTGCCTCGACCTGCGGCGTTTTTTCGTATCTCCCCCCTCCAACCTGCGCCGGCTCCCCCATGGCGCAGGTTGTCCGCGGTGCGGTCAAACCAGGGTCAAAATTCGTTGACCATGGGTTGACGCACGCCTCACCTTCTCGTCATCTTCCTAACATTTTCCTTCCCTCTGGCTGCCGAACCGGGCCTTAGTGACGTGCGCCTTGCTAGCTAATTAGGTCTACTTAGGGCGACGTCAGGTTATACATTTCTCATGTGTTAACAGTTCTTGTAACGTGAACGGTCTAACACGGTGAAAAGCGGTTCTTGGCGTTTACCGCTCTTCACCGTGTTGAAACGAAGGTAACCGCAGTGGGCGTACAAGTTGTTGTACAACCTGACGTCGCCCTTAGAATCTCCCTTAGGTTAATGTATGCAGTTTCTAAACGAGTGCCCCAGTTGGTAGCCCTGATTTCAAGTGCTGACTTGATCACGGGCGCTTAAAAGCCAGGCTCGGCCGCAGCCGGAATTCCAAGGGCTACTTCCGGAGCGCCCACACCCAGCGACACTCCCGAGTCGGGAATTTCACATTTTCTGATGATCGCGGGGGCGGGGGAGCATGTGGAGGGTTGGCCTCCCGCGCGCGTGATTCACGTGCTGCGCGAGGAGGCGGGCGGGCGGAAGCTGAGCGGAGCGTACGCGTGCGTGGTGGTGGGGGGCACGTTCGACCGCCTGCACGACGGCCACCGCCTGCTGCTGCGGGTGGGTGAAAGCGTGGCGCGGATGGGCATTGCGCGGGCTGGGCATTGCGAGTCACAGCATTCCACCTCCCACAACCCCGCATGTCCGTTGCCACCCCTGCCTGCCTGCACTGTATTCTCATCGGCCGGGCAAATCGGATTAAGCAGAGCCCGTAGAGATAGCGGGTAACCCGTTGTGCGAGTCCGCGGACTCACACTTGGCGCCGTCTCTGCCGCCTTACTTGCCGCACGTGATGCTCGTCTCAACTGGCCTCCTTGCCGCCCTGGTTGCAGACAGCAGCGGCAGCAGCGCGGGAGCGAGTGGTGGTGGGGATCACGGTGGGGCGCATGCTGCAGTCCAAAGAGGTGCGCGCACCTCCACCTCCGCCCTGCGCCGCTCCGCTTTGCACCTTACCGCTTTGCGCCTTACCGCTTTGCGCCTTACCGCTTTGCGCCTTACCGCTTTGCGCCTTACCGCTTTGCGCCTTACCGCTTTGCGCCTTACGGCTTTGCAGCACGTGAGCGCTACCAACCACCTTCATCCCTTTCTCGAAGCAGTCACATGCTTTCCCCCTGTAACTCTGACCGCTCCCTGCATGCTGTGTTGGGCGTGGTGGGTGTGCGGGCACCAGCTGTGCGAGCTGATTCAACCATTCGAGCAGCGGCAACAGGCCGTCACCCAGTTCATCCAGGTGCGCTTGCTTGTACCGCTGCGCTCTACTCCACGCCTCCACTTGCCTGCCTCCTCTCACACATGTCGCTTCTTCTGTGCACAGCCCTTTCAACCACTCTCTCGGATGTCAATCATTTCAGTTCTACTTGTCCGCACTCACCCCCCTCTCCCCCTTCCTCCCGATCCCTCCTCCCTTGCTGCGCCCCATGATCCCATCTCTCACTGATGGACATCCCACCCACCGCCTCATGCTCCACCCCCCCATGAATGCATGCACCATGCTGCATGGCGTGGCCATGGGCGGTGCGGCGAGAGCAAACGGGCAGGGGGAGAAGCCAGGCGTGGGGGTGGAGGCAGTGGCGATAGACGACCCCTTCGGCCCGGCCATCACCGACCCTCACATGGACGCCATCGCTGTCAGGTGCTCTGCTCTGCTCCCATCTCCACCCATTCGCCACCTCTCTCTCGCTTTTCAGGTGATATGTGGATGCCCATATGTACAAGGTCTTTCAGGGCCGTGGCCGTTGCAGTCCAGTCACTGTGAACAAAAACACATGTCTTGTTCCTGTGACTTGTTTCCCTTGCTCAATCCCGTGCCGCAGTGTTGAGACGGAGAAGGGAGCCCATGCAGTGAATGAGAGGCGCGCAGCTAATGGGCTCAAGCCACTGGATGTGAGTCAAGGCAGTGGATGTGAGTCAAGGCAGTGGATGTGAGTCAAGGCAGTGGATGTGAGTCAAGGCAGTGGATGTGAGTCAAGGCAGTGGATGTGAGTCAAGGCAGTGGATGTGAGTGATGGTGGGGGGTGCGAGTGATGGTGGGGGGTGCGAGTGATGGTGGGGGGTGCGAGTGATGGTGGGGGGTGCGAGTGATGGTGGGGGGTGCGAGTGATGGTGGGGGGTGCGAGTGATGGTGGGGGGTGCGAGTGATGGTGGGGGGTGCGAGTGATGGTGGGGGGTGCGAGTGATGGTGGGGGGTGCGAGTGATGGTGGGGGGTGCGAGTGATGGTGGGGGGTGCGAGTGATGGTGGGGGGTGCGAGTGATGGTGGGGGGTGCGAGTGATGGTGGGGGGTGCGAGTGATGGTGGGGGGTGCGAGTGATGGTGGGGGGTGCGAGTGATGGTGGGGGGTGCGAGTGATGGTGGGGGGTGCGAGTGATGGTGGGGGGTGCGAATGATGGTGGGGGTGCGAGTGATGGTGGGGGGTGCGAGTGATGGTGGGGGGTGCGAGTGATGGTGGGGGGTGCGAGTGATGGTGGGGGGTGCGAGTGATGGTGGGGGGTGCGAGTGATGGTGGGGGGTGCGAGTGATGGTGGGGGGTGCGAGTGATGGTGGGGGGTGCGAGTGATGGTGGGGGGTGCGAGTGATGGTGGGGGGTGCGAGTGATGGTGGGGGGTGCGAGTGATGGTGGGGGGTGCGAGTGATGGTGGGGGGTGCGAGTGATGGTGGGGGGTGCGAGTGATGGTGGGGGGTGCGAGTGATGGTGGGGGGTGCGAGTGATGGTGGGGGGTGCGAGTGATGGTGGGGGGTGCGAGTGATGGTGGGGGGTGCGAATGATGGTGGGGGGTGCGAGTGATGGTGGGGGGTGCGAGTGATGGTGGGGGGTGCGAGTGATGGTGGGGGGTGCGAGTGATGGTGGGGGGTGCGAGTGATGGCAGTACTCATGGGGTTGAATGTGCATGAGTGCTCATGCGAGTCATGGCACGACATTTCTTCCACGGTTCCCTCAGCCTTGCTCTTCATGTGTCTTGCCCCACGGCACCCGTGTGTGCCCCACGGCACCCGTGTGTGCCCCACGGCATGGCATCAGGTGATAGTGGTGCATCTGGTGGACGAGGGCGGCGGGCATGCGTGCATGGACGCCAAGATCAGCTCCACGCAGCTCAGGCAACGCGATAAGCAGCGCCTTCACGCACACTGATGCTGCCTGGTGCGTGGGGAGGTTGGGTGGTGCGTGGGGAGGTTGGGTGGTGCGTGGGGAGGTTGGGCGGTGCATGGGGAGGTTGGGTGGTGCATGGGGAGGTTGGGTGGTGCATGGGGAGGTTGGGTGGTGCATGGGGAGGTTGGGTGGTGCATGGGGAGGTTGGGTGGTGCATGGGGAGGTTGGGTGGTGCGTGGGGAAGGCGGGTCTGGGGCCAAACGAGGGTTGATAGGTGCCTGCGGGGAAGCAGGGAAGGGCAGAGACCACGGTATGGCAGTGTGGCGCCCATTGTTTGGTGCAGTGTGGCAGCGAGCAGAGTTGGTTCCGCCGCGCATTCGGTGCCGTTGCTTGGCAGGGCAAGCAGGTGCAGAGGCGGACGGGGGTGACGAGTGGGATGGGAGGGATAGAGGGGAGAGAGGGGAGGGAGGGAGGGGGGAAGTGACGCGCATTGAGGGCAGCAGCGAGTGGTGGGTGGTAGAGGAGAGAGGCAGGGAGATCCCTCTCTTTCATGCAGAGGAGAGAGGCAGGGAGATCCCTCTCTTTCATGCAGAGGAGAGAGGCAGGGAGATCCCTCTCTTTCATGCAGAGGAGAGAGGCAGGGAGATCCCTCTCTTTCATGCAGAGGAGAGAGGCGGGGAGATCCCTCTCTTTCATGCAGAGGAGAGAGGCAGGGAGATCCCTCTCTTTCATGCAGAGGAGAGAGGCGGGGAGATCCCTCTCTTTCATGCAGAGGAGAGAGGCGGGGAGATCCCTCTCTTTCATGCAGAGGAGAGAGGCAGGGAGATCCCTCTCTTTCATGCAGAGGAGAGAGGCGGGGAGATCCCTCTCTTTCATGCAGAGGAGAGAGGCGGGGAGATCCCTCTCTTTCATGCAGAGGAGAGAGGCAGGGAGATCCCTCTCTTTGATGCAGAGGAGAGAGGCGGGGAGATCCCTCTCTTTCATGCAGAGGAGAGAGGCAGGGAGATCCCTCTCTTTCATGCAGAGGAGAGAGGCGGGGAGATCCCTCTCTTTCATGCAGAGGAGAGAGGCGGGGAGATCCCTCTCTTTCATGCAGAGGAGAGAGGCGGGGAGATCCCTCTCTTTCATGCAGAGGAGAGAGGCGGGGAGATCCCTCTCTTTCATGCAGAGGAGAGAGGCAGGGAGATCCCTCTCTTTCATGCAGAGGAGAGAGGCGGGGAGATCCCTCTCTTTCATGACCGCCGAACACACTCTCTCTTCTCACCCATCTCCCCTCCTCCCCACCCCCCTCTCTCCCTCTCTCACTTCCCCTCCCCACCCTCCAGGCAGCAACTCCTATTGTACAGATTCCTCCCTCTCACTTTCGTTCCTATTGGATGGAAGCAGAGTCAATGGTGCCTGGTGCTGTGTGCAACTGGTGTGGGCCGCATATGTGGAGCGCAGAGGCAGTGAGAGCGGGAGAGCAAGTGGAAGGCAGAGGCAGAAAGTAGAGTGGAGAAGAGGAGTGGGGACAGCAGCAGCAAATACAGCAGGCAACGCACGTGTCCTTGTGGCTACTGCATTTGCCTGCAATACAGTGCAGTCTCTGTGCTCTGCGCTGCAGTGCAGCACTGCAGGGCAATATTGTGCTGTCCGTGCATTGTGCTGTCCGTGCATTGTCATCAGCAACCACCGGTCCACCACTGCTTCTCTTGTGCTTGGGCTATGTTTGAAAGGCCAGCAAGCCATTGCTGGTGGCGTTGGTCTGAGAAAGAAATATTCAAGATCATGCACCCTTGCTCCACTTCGAAGCACTGACATCCAAATAAATCCAATGCACCAGTTACAAGATCAACAGCACTAGGGTGAACTTTCTTTGTCAGGTCTCTATAGCATGCTGTTGCTTTCCTTTCAGGGACAAATGAAACCTTTACCCATAATCCCCCGGATATACCGGTATGACCCCCCCAACACCCTCGAATAGCTAATACGGGGGGGAGGCTACATTAAACGTCCTGGTATGAAAGAATGCAGTAATGGAACCAAATCATGGTACAAGTGGGGACCATATTCTTTGTTCAACGTTGCTCCTCCACCCTAGTTACCACTTCAAAAACGCACCAGCACACTCAAATGGCTCCTGCTGGATGGCCCTACAACAAGTAAGAGACTATTGATTAACATTTCAGGCTATAAAGCGGTGTCCTTCAGGTGTGCCTCAGTTGTGCCTCTCAGGTGTGCCTCTCAGGTGTGCCTCTCAGGTGTGCCTCTCAGGTGTGCCTCAGTTGTGCCTCTCAGGTGTGCCTCTCAGGTGTGCCTCTCAGGTGTGCCTCTCAGGTGTGCCTCTCAGGTGTGCCTCTCAGGTGTGCCTCTCAGGTGTGCCTGTCACACATCGAACTCATGCAGCACGTTGCCATGAGTGGGCCGGCCCCCCAGCACCGTGAGCGTGCGCGCATCGAGGTTGAAGAGTGCACTGTGCAGCGTGTGGATCACCGGGCCTGGTGGTGGCAGAAGCGATGCAGGGCGGAAAGGGGAAGGAGGAGGGGCGAGGTATGAGTGGTGCTTGCAGGGACGGAGGGAGATGAGCAGCGGCACGCAGGATCGAGTTGTGCGCGGTGGAGAGAGTGGATCACAGGGCCTATCGGCAGTCAACAGACCTCCTCATGCACCTGCGCACTCCATCCCTCACCTCCTCCTCATCATCTGCCACCCTTGTCGCCCACATCAATAAAACATCCCTCCTCATACTTCCCCACACTAAATCCCTCACCTCCCAAATACTCATCGTCTCACACTGACCGACCACCCACACTGCCCTACCTGCACCTCTTGCTACTCCACCCCAGCAGTGCACCCCTCACCTCCCGCGTCGTACACCTTGCCGGCATTGAAGATGGGGAAGTCGCCGTCATCGGAGTTGGAGAGAATCTGGAGGCGGCAGTCAGGTGAGCCACGGCAGGCAGAGGCGAGAGACGGGAGGGATGAGAGGGAGGGGTGAGAGGGAGGGGTGAGAGGGAGGGGTGAGAGGGAGGGGTGAGAGGGAGGGGTGAGAGGGAGGGGTGAGAGGGAGGGGTGAGAGGGAGGGGTGAGAGGGAGGGGTGAGAGGGAGGGGTGAGAGGGAGGGGTGAGAGGGAGGGGTGAGAGGGAGGGGTGAAGTTGATTCGACTCAAGATCCAACTCGAGGGGTGTGGGAGAGAGGTGAAGTTGATTCGACTCAAGATCCAACTCGAGGGGTGTGGGAGAGAGGTGAAGTTGATTCGACTCAAGATCCAACTCGAGGGGTGTGGGAGAGAGGCATGGGAGAGATGCATGGGAGAGATGCGTGGGAGATGGAGATGGAGAGGCTCATTGGAGAGCAGATGATCCAATTCTCATCAACATGCCATCACTCACACCACCCTGCAGCGACGAACCACTATTTTTAATCACCTAAGAAACAATCATGCACGGAGCACTGTTTGCCAGGTACGAATGAGAGAGAAAGATACCAACCAGTTCGTTCCAATCACCACTTGCTCTCCTATTGCCACACACCTACTCGTTATCGTCACACTCACTTGAAGCATGCCCTGTGTGGTGGTGGGCGCACCCAGGCGGCGGGCAGTGGCCTGGCGGCGGTGCGAGCTGGTGCCCATCTTCTGCGGCACGGGCAGCCGCAGCTGCAGCCGTGTGTACGCGTTGGCGTGGAGCACATACGCCATGCCCTCATCACCACGTTGGCGTGGAGCACATACGCCATGCCCTCATCACCACGTTGGCGTGGAGCACATACGCCATGCCCTCATCACCACGTTGGCGTGGAGCACATACGCCATGCCCTCATCACCACCACTACCACCACCACCACCACCAGCAGTCTCAGATCCGCTCACTCCTCTCTCGCTCTCCTCCCTTCCCACTTCTACCGCCTTCTCCCCTTCTGACTCCCCCTGGCTTCTCAGCTGGGGGTTTCGGCCCAGCTCCAGAATGCTATGCCGGCCGTTGGATGCGGTTTCGACGGACACGATTCGCCGGCGGGCAAAGTCCATCAGCACGTAGTGATGTCCCACTGCCACTGCTGGACCAGTCACGCGCTGCCATGTGGCAAGGGCCGAGTGGGAGGCGGGTGCCAGGGGGAAGGGGGAGAGGAAGGAGAGAGGTGGGGAAGGAGAGTGAAAATAGCAAGAGTTATATTTGCAGCAATAGAAAACGGAAAATCACAGGGTCATGGTAGAACCAAATCACAGGGTCCAAAGGGCTACGTGATTTCTTCCCTCTCATTTAAGCATCCCCACTCTCACACGCCCAAGAATTTTGACCTGAATAATCCCCACTTGTCCCAGTCCCACTCACTCGTTAATCACACTTTACAGTCACAGCAGTTACAATCATATTCGTCCAACCTGCAGGGCGTCCTCAATGCAGCGCGCCTCCATGAGGCTGCGCGCGAGGAAGTTGCGCGCGATGCCGCCTTGCACCACCTCGGATGGCGCTGGTGGCACCGCGTCCATGGTGAACGCCTGGAGAGGCAACGGGAAGAGAGGATGGAGAGCACAGGAGAGGCAAGGGGAAGAGAGGATGGAGAGCACAGGAGAGGCAAGGGGAAGAGAGGATGGGGAGCACAGGAGAGGCAAGGGGAAGAGAGGATGGAGAGCACAGGAGAGGCAAGGGGAAGAGAGGATGGAGAGCACAGGAGAGGCAAGGGGAAGAGAGGATGGAGAGCACAGGAGAGGCAAGGGGAAGAGAGGATGGAGAGCACAGGAGAGGCAAGGGGAAGAGAGGATGGAGAGCACAGGAGAGGCAAGGGGAAGAGAGGATGGAGAGCACAGGAGAGGCAAGGGGAAGAGAGGATGGAGAGCACAGGAGAGGCAAGGGGAAGAGAGGATGGAGAGCACAGGAGAGGCAAGGGGAAGAGAGGATGGAGAGCACAGGAGAGGCAAGGGGAAGAGAGGATGGAGAGCACAAGAGAGGCAAGGGGAAGAGAGGATGGAGAGCACAGGAGAGGCAAGGGGAAGAGAGGATGGAGAGCACAGGAGAGGCAAGGGGAAAAGAGGATGGAGAGCACAGGAGAGGCAAGGGGAAGAGAGGATGGAGAGCACAGGAGAGGCAAGGGGAAAAGAGGATGGAGAGCACAGGAGAGGCAAGGGGAAAAGAGGATGGAGAGCACAGGAGAGGCAAGGGGAAAAGAGGATGGAGAGCACAGGAGAGGCAAGGGGAAGAGAGGATGGAGAGCACAGGCGCGAGAACGGATGATGCGAGTAACAGAGGCTGGCAGCAACACAGTTCCGCCCTGTGTGCCTCAGTTCACCCCTTGACACCCACAGGCACGCAGGCAGGCGGGCGGGCTGGCTGGCAGGGGTTTGAAGCACTGGCGTTGCTCTTCTTATGAGGGCTTTGCTGGAGGCGCATAGCATCGGGAAAAGTTCTGAGATGTCCCAAACCCAGGCATCGTGAGCACCAGAGCTGCGCAGGCGTGCAAGGGAGGCAGGCAGGCAGTTTGATGTCTGACCATGGCAGCCTCGTTGAACGCAAAGGCGAAGGAGGGCAGCTCGCCCACATAGGTGTACGCCATGACTGCCACCCTGCTGCCCGTGTGCATGCGGATGAAGAAACTGAGAGGACATGAGACGGGGTGCAGGGGAGGAAAGAAAGAGAGGATGTTGTGAGCATAGGGGAATGACATGGAATGGCAGTGCATGGAATAGCAGGGCGTGACATGCCGTGGAATGGCATAGCGACGGCAAAGCATGGGCATGGGCATGTGCATGGGCATGGGCATGTGCATGTGCATGTGCATGGGCATGTGGAACCCTGCACATGTGGGCATGGCATGACATGACAACTCACGAGTTATCCACAATTGAGTAATCGGCATCCTCGTTGTGTCCCACTGCTGCCACGTCATCAGTGAGCAGCAGCACATCAGTGCAGTCGTCAGATGCTATGCCATACTGCGTCCGCCTGTCCAACGTGGCAGACTCTGGCAGCACTGCTGACGTGGCAGGCGCGTTGAGGGAGGGCAAGAAGGCACCGAACTCCTTGCGGAGATTCAGAAGCAGCAGCTGACGTGGACGGAGTGGGTGACAGGTACAGCAGGGCCGGGAGGAATGCGATAGGGTTGGTGTGTGCTATGGGTGAGAATTTAGGGTACAGACGAGAGGAGAGGAAGAGAGCGGCATGTGCAGGGGGATGGCCAGGGGTGGGAACAGGAGCAGTTTCCGTTGAAGAACAGAGAGAGGAACACACGCCACGCATGGCCGGCGATCCAGGTCAGCTGTGGTGCGGGGCAGTTGATGGGCCCACCTGGTGAAAGGGCAGTTGATGGGCCCACCTGGTGAAAGGGCAGTTGATGGGCCCACCTGGTGAAAGGGCACGGTGCTGCCCGCCGCCATGCCGCGCAGCTCCTCCCAGTACTCCGGGTACTGCGCCCTGCCATGGCCGGGGGGGTGGGAGGGGGGGGAGGGGAGGGGGAGAACGGGCGGGGTTAAGTTTGAGTCAACTGGAAAGTCGGCCGTCAGTGGGGCGGGGTACTGTGGACGTGAGTGGAACGGGGAGGAGAGGCGGGACGCGAGTGATGGTGAGGTACTCCTGTGCGGGCATGATTGAACCCTGCAGCACTGGCGTGGGCACGGCATCACAGCATGGCACTGGTAGCGTTTGCGGAGCTAAGGGGTATGCAGAGGGAAAGGACGGGAGGGGGGGCTTTGGAGTCGAGTGGAGAATTGGAAGAGCAACAGCATGATGAGCGTGCATGGGACGAGGCATGGGCAGCACCGAGGACGAGGCATGGGCAACACAGAGGACGGAAACGAACGTGAGGACGCACGACGGTGTGGCGTGAGGGACAAGCGGGTGGAAACCAAGTTCCAATTGGACGTGTCGGTTGAGACGAAATCGTTGTGGCTGGCTCGTTACGAGTGGCATCACGACCACACATGACTGCACGGCATCTTGCTCAGAAGCATCGGCTCGGAATGCAGCAGTCACCTGTTGGACTCGGCAAACGCATTCAGCAGCGCAGCCCCATCGCCCGTGCGTGCGAACGGAATCATGTCGTCGTGCAGAAACGGCGCCTTGGCGACGCGATCGCGAATCTTGTCGCCGAAATGCGCGCCGATCGCACAGCCGCGCTCGAACGGGCTGCCAGCCACCTCGAGCCGCTCTAGCGGCCTGGGGATTGCCGACGCGCTCGCTGCACACACGTTCACTGACGTGGCTCTGGCTGACGTGGCGCATACGGGGGAATTGAGGGATGGAGAGAGTAGGCTGGCGGATGCGACTGGTGGTCGCACGGCGACTGGCGAGGGAGTCATATTCGCGCCTGCGACGGTGGGAGCCATGGCGAAAGGCGAAGTCAGATTCAGAAATCGTCCACACGATCATACTAGTAGTGGTTTCGGCATATTTAAAGGCGCAATGATTTCAACGATAAGTACGCCACACGATATCGTAGCGCGGGGCTGACGCGGTTTCGGCTACTTTGACGATCATGGCGCGAGAGGAACGTACTCGACGCGCGAAACTCACTCTGTGCACTTCGGGAGGTGAGAGCTGACGGGTCACGTCACGAGGGATGTGCTCGCGTCACCGCCTTGCTTTCCTTAGTAAGGCGCTGGCTTGGGGTTGTGGTGGATGAGTCCGCCGCTTGTTGCTCTGGTGTTTAGGTAGCGACGTGGGAGAGCAGTCTAGAATGCAGTCAAGCATCGTGGTTTCGATTCTACATAACTAACGCATTCCAACTATCGCGTGATAAAACTGAGAAACTGGAGCTCGCGTTTCTGATGAAGGCGTGGATCTACATGCGGTTGCTGCGACTCGGCAGGGCATAGGTGAAAAGGGCTGGACGAAAGATGCTAAGGCTTGAAAACGAGCATGACAACTCTGGAACATGTTTTGTCCGACAAAGGGCTGGACGAAACATGCTAGGCTTGAAAACGAGTTTCCCCAACAAATACCGTACGAACACTTTCGGCTACTTTGATTATCTTAAGCACTTTGAGATTTATATTGCCCTTCCGCGTGCGTTCGTGGTTAGCGTTGGCGACTGGCAAACAAATAAACCTTATTATTAGGATGGTACTATGGCATCTGGGGGCATCAACGGTAAACACCTAGCTCCTGGTATTTGTTGGAAATATATTTGTGTGTTATTTATCTTGCATTGCACTGTTCGAAGTGCAGAAGCGAAGCCCTCAATATCGGGGATGTTGACTCAAGTATCGAACTGCAGGGGCGCAACCGCGTACAGTGGTTGCGACCCGCGTGGCAGCCGAAGGGTCGAATTGAGCAGGAGGCAGCGTCTACAGTACGCGAAACCACCCTGGAGGCGCGGCAGAATACCGCGCCCTTGCCGAAGCTGAAAGGTCTCGCCAGTAACTGGGCAACTGAAACGTTACAGCGCAACTGTAATACAGTTGCGCCTTGGTAACTGCCTCCCTGCTATGTTTCCTATATAACTCAATGTACTGCCATGCTATCATTACACAATTCTCAAGCTTGTGTCCGGCCTACCCTCGGCCGCCGCTTTGGCACCAAGTTACAAGCCAGGAGAGCTACCTCTGAGTGACCATAGCCCCGCCGCTGGGACGTCGTTATTTCCTAGAGTATTTCCGCTACTCTAGCGACCTCCTAATTTCAACATGGTATGAGAGCTGACAGGGGAAAACTCTGACTCTTTCAAAGATCATTACAAGACATGGCAACAAACAAGGAAAGGAGCTCCCCTAATGGCTCCTCGGGCACTACTCCTACTCCACCGCCAGCCTTTGGCCTGCAGACAGAGGAAGGCACGGCAGCAAGACCAAGGGGAACGTCAACTGACACCCCCACAAACCACCCTTCTGACTTCGACCAGAACATGATGGAGAAATTCTTCTCCTTCATGTCCTTCTACGAGCAACACCAGCAGTCGGGACCTGCACAGACACACAACAGCAACAACGGAGCAACACCCATGAGCCTTGATGGGTCGTCATACGCGCGAGGGAATCAACAGCAGCAACCCACCTTCGCCCCGTACGAACGCGGATCGATCAGCTTCCTGCCTCAACCTCCACCTGCGCAAGACAAACCAATGGACGCGTTACAAGTTCAGTCGCAATTCGCGCACGTTCTGAAACTACAGACATCAAGACCTTTCGACGGAAAGGACTTCTTCACCTAGTCCTTTGAATTCGAGCTGATGATGGAGGGCGCGCAGATACTCAGCTTCTTCGACGGGTCCCTGCAGTATCCAGCAAACGGCACACAGTATGAGAAGCAGCAGTATACGTATCAATCGATGATGGCGTATACTATTCTACTAAGGAACATCACACCGACTCAGCAGCAGAACATTCGCTCTTACCGAAACTTCGGCAATTCGGCGGAACTCGCGTACGACCATCTGAAGAACCTGTATCAGGCAACAGACAGTGTAAACCAGAGCAAGTTAATGGCGCAGTTGACAACAGTGGAAATGAAACCAGGAGAAAAGGGATTGGCGTATATCAACCGATGTCGCGAATTGCGCGACAAGCTTCTTCGATGCGGAGGATCAATCTCTGAAGACGCCTTCGTAACAGTCGTCATCGGTGGCCTTGGTCCTCAGTGGCGCGCCACCAAAGCAATTCTTCGAGCACACGGGAGGATCTCCGAAGCGGCACTCTGCGCCGAAATTCACGCCGAGCAGCAGGATATGGACCTGCAAGAAGAAAGACACAAGAAAAAGACATTAGCACCGGAGTTCGCTTTCCATACTCAGCGACGACACAACAACTACAACAATCGACAGCAGCAGCCGAAGCCAGTACCTCCGTTTTGTCACATCTGCAAGACATCAGGACACTCACGCACGCATTGCCCGTCTCGTCAGACAACACCACAGCGACAACTGCGGCCTTCAAGCACCCAAGTTGCTTCGACACAAGCAAGTTCGACAACCACGATTCAAGCTTCAACGACCTCAACTGGACAACCTGCACAAGGAGCAAGAAATATAGTCAACTGCATGGTCAAGATAAACGACTCTTGCATAACAGAGTCACCACCCCATTACTCACCAGAAGAGGAGCTCGACAACAGGACGCCTCGCCGCGAATCACTCCACCCGAATCCGACTTACGCCGCCATCGCTCAAAGTGAACCGTCCGGCCAAGACACTTGGTTCTTGGACAGCTGCTGCGGGCAACACATGTGCTTGTCCGGGCGTTTCGTACAACGCGAACATCGACTCCAACGAGAAGTGATCATCACGGTCGCCAACAATCAAAACCTGCGCACACGACGACAAGGAGTGGTACAGCTTCAGTCAAGAGAAACAAATGTCATACTGCACATGTCTAAGGTACTCATCGCTGAAGGACTCGGCTACAACTTACTGAGTGTTAGCCAGCTGATGGCGAAAGGGATTCACCTGGAAGCCGACAGCACCACCCAGGAGTTCAAGCTATACCACGGGAGAGGCGATCTCTACATCGGGAAGGCAGTGCTGAAGAACAACGTCTTCGTCCTCGACTTCGTTCCCGACCTCGGCACTGCAGACAGCGACGCCATTGTGAACTTTGCTGACTGGACACACCCCCCGGATCTCAACCCCGACTTCAGCCCGGGAGGCTTCTGGTACTCCCACACTATCCCTGAAGCAGAACGAACAAGAGCGTTAGCAACGATTCAACAAACACCAGAAGCAGAGGCAACAACATCGGCAGCAGCAACAACATCGGCAGCAGCAACAACATCGACAGCAGCAACAACATCAGCAGCAGCAGGAACAACGACACCAGTCACAGTCGACAAAGCACCACCAACACCCGCGCAACAGCTGAATCCGACTCAACGTGAAGTCCACCGAAGCGCCAACCTCGTCGCCAGTTTTTACTCCAACTCCGACGTATACCAGCGTTCACCCGGACACCGCGCCTCTGAAGAGATCTGGCACGCACGCACAGGACATCCAAGCATCACGGTTTTGAATAACACGATAAGAGCAGGAGTTCTTGACAAAGACTCTCTACTTCTACCCGATGGCAGAGAACTTCAAAGGGCACGAGGGACTTGCCTTATATGTCCTGAAGCCGACTTACCTCATCGACCGTTCGCTCCACATCACAACCCGAGTGCTCCAGCGTACGCACCACTCGAAAAAGTCTACAGCGACATCCTCTACAATCGCGATCCAGGACAAGTTAACTACAGCTACACTATCACCTTTATCGACGCCGCCACTCGATATGTCTGGCATCGTAACCTACCCAGCCGCGACATGGCGCTCGCAGCATTCGCCGCCTGGCTACCGATAGCAGAGAGAGAGTCTGGAACACATCTGAAAAGTTTCCAGTCAGACGGAGGTGGCGAGTACACCTCTCAGCGCTTCAAGCAGTTCCTGGCGGAAAGGGGGATCAAGCAACTTCTCTCCCTTCCCTACGCACATCAGCGGCAAGGTGTTGCAGAACGAATGAACAGGACCCTGCAGAACAGCATGCGCAAACTGTTACGTGGCATGCGGCTACCCAACCACGAGTGGCCAGCAGCAATGGACCACGCTGTCATGCTGCACAACTTGCTGTCGTCGTCGTCACTCCCGAACAACGCATCACCGCATCTGCTGTGGACAGGGAAGCAGGGCAGCACAAAAATGTTACGAGTTTTCGGGTGCATGGTACAGTACCGACCCCCAGAAGCACGAGCGGGGAGATTTTCGCAACGGGCACAGTGGGGACTACACCTCGGCATCGAGAAAAATTACAACGCGTGGAGAATCTTCGACGTCCACACAAAGGAAACAGTAGCAGCACGTGATATGATCTTCTACGAAAGACTCACCCTTCAGACGTACCTCGCCAACTTACACGAGAATCGAGACCTCACCAGTGGCTTTCGTGGTGACCGAGCCTTCGCGTCAGCAGCGGATGAAGCAGACTGGGATGAACAGAATGTGGACAACGCATCGGAGGAAGCCGGACCTCTTCCGTACTGCTCCGTCGACGTGCCCATGGATGAGGATAATCCTCGCGACAGTAACAACGCCGAAGTCTTCTACCATTTCGCCGACAATGGTTACGTAACACCTGCGACAGTCAACACCAACGAAGCAGAAAGGGTAGGGCCGAATTTCATACCCGACCCAGAAGCGGGAGACGAAGCAGCTTATCCCGAGGATCCAGAACTCCCTCGATACTCACAGACTGGGCTGCAAATCCTTGGTCTCGTCACCGCAGTCCATGGCGCCGGCATTCCTAAGGAGCCTGCGACGGTTCAACAGGCTCTGGGGGGGGAACACAGGGAGAAATGGCGTGAAGCCATGGACAAAGAGCTGAAGGCACTGGAGGAGCGC